ATTATGGTAGCCCAGCTAGAGACAGAAGGGTATAGGATAATTATTGTAACAAACAGTGTTACAACAATACAGTAAATTATGGTAGCCCAGCTAGAGACAGAAGGGTATAGGACAGTTATTGTAACATATTTTTTAAGTAAATTGTGTTCATCAATAACTGTTTGAAACTGGTTGGAAGAAGTTTCAGAAATCAATATTTTGTAGTATATGTTTAAGAAAATCTTTCTTTGTGAGCTTTATTCAGTCAAGTAATTTTGCACTTGTCTTTTGTATTTACAAACTTGTGTACTGTTAAATGATAGGATAACATTCAACAGCTTCTTTAGGGTATTCTTGTATCATTTCATAAATTATAAATCATTGGAGTTCTGGTTAATAGAGAATGGTTTAAAATTTATTCGATGCAACTAATAAGGAAACTTCATTCCAGTTTTAGCATCACTTAGCCTCGACAAAACAATGTATCTATGATAATTTGAAATAACAATTACTATCAGTTTTTTTTACATGACTGTTTTTCAATAAAATATACAGTGTGATTATAAAGAAAATACCACATTTAATGGTATCCTAAAAACTGCTTTACTAAGGGGAACTAAATTTCACCAGACGTTCATTGAAAATAAGTTTTTTTCAGTAAAGAATGGACATTGTAAAGGGTATATCAAAAGCTGTCATACATCTATCTCTATGTGAAGCTGTTGTAAGCAACTTCTGGTCTGGAAAGTTTTCATTGGTCTGTGTATTCATTCCTAATGGTGTTTTTAGATCCTACAAATTTTGAGGGATATTCCAGTAGATATTTCAATTGAGAAAATCCCATAGCCAAAAGTCTGCTGGTGCAATGTCTGGGGATCTCATAATCCAGGAAGTGGATGTCCATTTTCTATTTGGATTTGCAAAGTAAAATTGCAGTTCTGTTATCACAGTCGAAGACAGCTTCATGATCTTGCACACTAATAAACATTTTATTAAATTTGCTAATCTTGTATTGTTGAAAAAGATACGAAGAAGAGAAATAACACAATGTTCCTTTGTGGCAATTTTATTTGATCTAGGACAAGAAGTTTTTAAAACAGTCATTTTGAATATGGGGTTTACTTTATAATCATTCTGTAGTTCCAAGTAGGAGAATGCTGGTAGAGACAAATTAAATACTTTGTTAGTACATATAATATTTGCTCATTTATATATATTTTTCCTTTTTAAATACTTGTGGAATAGTGTTTGATGGTGTCTTGTAGTCACTGTTTCTGGAATTATGCATGATATTAATAATTTAAATGGGCTATGGTTATCTTGCTTATTTTTTATGAACAGTTAGGAGGAGTAAGCTTTCAAACATTATTTGAAAACTCAAGTCATAAGAAATTTAATACAGAATAATTATAATGAGCTTATATAAAGTTAACAATGTGATGAAATATGATTAATGTAAGCTGTTTCTTCTTAGAACATTAATGCCAGTTTCTGTTTTATTTACTTGCATAAAACTTCTTGACTATTTATTATATTTTAATCAAAAATGAAGTAAATTATGATATATCTCTTTTATTTTGTTATTCCAGATTTTCTTGAAAGCAGTGAAAAAGAAGATAATTTTTTTGAGCCAAATGATTCACATAGAAACATCCATCAGTGCAAGAAAAGGAAATTAAGACGTTATTTCTGGCAGTATAACTCTCAGTCAAAAGGAGAAAATGGTTCTTATTCTGTTTCAAGAGATGACCCACACGTACTGACTAACATTACTGACCCTGTTTTCAGCGAGGAGTGTTCTCTGACAAGCGTGAGGCATCCAGGAAAGGCCAGGAGAGGTGATGGTAATGATTTAACTCCAAACCCACGTAAACTATATAACATTGGGCTTAAGCTAAAGCAATTGAGCCAGGAAATAAAAGAACTTACACCAGGAACAACTGTTTCAGTCAGTACAAAACCAAAATCTCGCAAGGAAAAGAACAAGTTAGCATCAAGGTAAAGTCTATGCTACTACTACTACTACAAGCTAACAAGTGTCAAAACAGTCTTTGTTGAAGGCCCTATCCCTAGTTCTATGTAAAATGTAAAGTTTCCAATGTTAACTGTAATGTTTTCCAACTTACAAATAATTAAAATTCTCAGTTAAATTAATGTTTTAGTTTTGTTGGTGTAAATGTAGAAACAAAAAAAGAATTGTTTGCATCAGTTTTCACAATCTCAAATTTTCATTTATTTTTTAATTGGGATGGATCCAGAATCTCCTACCATAAAATGTTGTATTAACCCTATTGAGACGGGTAGAGGTCAGAGGGCATGTCATCATGTTTGTAGATTTACATTCAACATTTTATTTAGCTATTATTTTATAAACTTATATCAATAAGTTTGGTATCAAATCATAGATTATAATTCAAATTTTAGTATTATACATTATTTAGTTCCTAAATTTTAAAATAAATATTAAAAAAAAGGCTAAATGTTGATTTTTGTGTGGCACGTGGGCCTTTTGGGTTTGGTCAGATTACATTTTATGATGTCCACAATACAACATCTATAGTTTTGTATGAATTAGAAACTCAGATGTTCAATATTGGCAAGCTAGAATGTAAAATAAAAACCACCTATGTTTTCTATTTGGTGACATAGCATGATATTTAGTGAACCCACTATATTGGCTCCACCCACCACTTCGTCATTTGCAAAGACTTGTTTATCTATGCCTACTTTTATATACCAATAACTTTATAATCAATTGAAATCTGTATATATATTCTACATAATTCTGTCAGTCTTCCCAAGTTATTTACGAGATAAATGCTCTTATATCATTGGAAAGTTGGAAGTATTACTATCAAGGCTATTTTGTGAATAGAAATTGTTTTTTAGACTCAAGTACAATTTAGTTAGGAAGCCTGATAATTTACAGTTGATTTTTGGAGTATTGCTATTGTACTTTATAATTTTGTTTGTATCCCAAAATGCTTACATGAAGACTACAAAAATTATTATTTTTCCATCTCCACATGTGAATTTGGAAAAGGCTTAGCAAGTATGGCTCATGAGTGCAAGCAAGGACTTTGTAGCATCGTAAGTAGTAGAGATCATTGTTTTCCATATAATTTTTATTTACTGTTTTATGTTTGAAGAAAAATATATATTTACTGTATTTTACAAAGTAAGAACTTTTGTTATTTTTCTACTCATTTACATTGAGGTAGAATAAATACAAATTATACAAAACTAAAGACTTGGCAATTCAGAAAAAGTTTATTTGTGTAATTTGTGAAAGTCTAAGAAATATATTTATCACTGATCAACTGATCTACACACAGAAAAGGAACATCTTTACATAAACACCCGGTTGAACTTGCAGTTTGCTGGTGAATAATTTGTCTCTCAAGTTACAATCAAGAAGGCTAAGCCAAGAATACTAGCCCAATGAAATCGAGCCGTATTTATGTTATTGGAAACTACACATTTATTGGTTACTGTGTAAGCACGGTAATATAGGAAACAGGATGTCCATAAGCATTTACACGGATACCAACACTAAATACCGACCACAAATTTGTAGTTATTCTAGAACAAAAAAAGGTAATTTAGATTTATTTCCTAATTTTTATGATGGTTGCAAGGTCAGTCAAATCGATCAACACCATATAGAATTAATATTGATAAAATAACAGAATAAATATAAAGTTTTTATTTAAGAAAACATTTGATGATTATCTAGTAGGATGTAGAGATTATGCAAATGAAACTTGACAATTTTCAGATAAAGAAAAGTATTTTTAATTTTAAAATTAAAATACTTTGTATGTTGGATAGTCAATATTCTGAAAGAAAAAATTCATGAGATCTTTAAGAGAAATATCTTAAAACATAATTCAGAAACCAGATATTTTGTGTATGAAATTCTTGTAATGTTTACTAATAATCTGTAAAATTTTGTAAAGACTTGTGAACATTTTCAAAACTTACAGTATAATTACTCTCACAGATACTTTCCTGGTTACGAGCTGGGTCGATTCTACCCAGCCTGTAATGGAAGGGCTAATTTCTTTATAATTACTGTCTTGTCTAGCAAATGGATGTCATTAAGGTCATCCATTGTAGAGCTGGTTGACTTAGTCGATATAATCAAACACCTACGAGTAGCAACTACATTGATTAGTCTTACATAAGACAATCAGTTGATCAAAATTATGATTAAATTGATTAATGTTCCATAAATAACCATCTAATCAGAATTAGTGTTTCTGATTATCACTGTATTCAATTATTCCAATGATCAATAAATCAAAGAGACAGTTAAATCCATTAATTAAAATACATGATTCTGATTATCACTGTTTTTGATTATTCAACTATCTAGTAATTGAAATATTGCCTTTATGATTTATCATCAGATTTGTTCAGCTCAATTGGTTAGTGTCACAACTCCAGAAAATATTATAATAATCAAAATTAAGAGTTTCCAGTTATTATTCATTTTTTTTTTTATTCCAACTATCCAAACAGTAGAAATATTGTGAATATATTCGTTGTTAACCACACAAAGCTACGCAATAGGCTATCTATGCTCTGAGCACACAGATATCAAAATCTAAAGTTTAGCATTATAAGTTTTTAAGCAATCTATTAACCTTTTTTGTTTTTTACTTCAAGTTTGTACAACTTTATATTGAACTGTTGACTGAAAGGAAAGGCAATTGGGAGTAAGCATACCATGATTTGAGGAAAACTGTACTAATCAGCCAGTCAAATGTAATCGATTACTGAGCCTATCAATGAATCAGTTAGCAAGTACCTCTAATTCACCAGCTCTATCCTTTGATATGAATAGGTACAATTTTGCATAAAGACTATTTGATTTACATTTTGATTTTATATATATATATATATATATATAAACTTTTTATAAGTTTAAAATTAAGATTGCTGTAAAACATTAGAGGTGTAGTTTGAAGTCCAAGTAAATGATAACAAATTAGTTTATTTCTTCCTTGATGTTTCTACAAGCTTAAACATTTTAATGCTGTCGTAAATTATTGTAGGCATAGATTTACAAATGGAACTATCTGCATCACACTAATGTAAAAATCAATGTACTTGTACTTCCCTATTGAAAACAAACTGGCTGAAACAAAAATATGTACTGACTGATTCATTCTACTATTTTAACTATCCCACAAGTATCTTCTCAGTGCTTCACTGACCATGTAATTTTAATTAAAAGTATAGCTTACGACACTATCCATTTATCAAGACTTTTTGGTAGTTTTCTGAGGCCCATGGTATACAGATAGGATGGCATCTTATCCTTTGTCATACCTGGTTGTCTTCTAGGTGGGAGAGATATTCCTGGGAAGGTGATTGAGTGAATCCACTGGCAGCTCCATCCTTGGCAAACCTCTGAAAGATGTCTTGACAGAAACTCTGGGATTTTCCACAGTTTTAGGTTCCACTGGCGAGTCTCTCTGTGGAGTTACCCAGTTGGCCTTTATCTCACTGACATACTTCTAAAGACAGTCTCTTGAGTGACCTTTGATTTAGAATGCCTATTTTGTCAACACTTACCTAATGTTAGAGTTTGTCCTTTCTTGTGATGAGAACTGTTCAGCCACACCATGTTACCCCAATGAAACCTAATTTTATCACCATTTATATCATAAGTACCTTTTGTTGTATCACAAGCAAACTTAACTTTTCCCGGGGTAAAATCATGTATGACATATTTTTTCTTCATATCCATAAGAACTCTTCCAATCAATTCTTAAGGATATGCCAGAGCACTAGGTTCCACTGCAATCCAGTCATAGATGAATAATTATTGTTAACATGTCTTGGTATAAATACTGCACTTTTTGGTGGGGCAGTGACAACTGTACTTATTTCCACTGGAAGTTCAACCTTCAGTGTAAAAAATTTCATCTAGTGCATAGGGATTTCTTGATCATAAACTGTGAAGTTATTTGCAACTAGTCTTTCAGTTGCACTGATGTTCTCTACGACATCATTAATGTATTTTGGTAATTTGTTTTTGACTTTGTTGATGCCCTTTTTTACTTTTTAAATCTTGTCATTAGAGCCTTTCAATACATCTTCAATCTTATTGTTGTATTCTGTACATCTCCAATAGCTTTATCAATATGATCTTCAATCAGTTATTTATATTTCTAATTCTTTTTTAAATAATGTATTTTTTCCAGTGCAATACCTCACCTTCTCTTACCTAACAGCTTTTATCAATGATTACTGCCCTCTATATGCAAAAGTTTTGCTTGCCACAAACCTTGTGCTCACATTTACTTCCATGTTTGCACGTGGTACAGCTGCATTATAGCATGCAAAGTAGCATGCGACAATCCTCCACCAATAGGAATGTGATACACCCTCCTAGCACAGCTAACTCCCCCTGTATTGTGGAACCCAATCATCTCTTCTCAATTTGGCACTGTAGTGTTCAGACAAATAGCCTGTACATTATTTTTCATGGGTTTTAAACTTGATTTTCCTAAACTCTCATTCAGTTTTTTTTTTCTTTTGGATTCCTAATTTATTTTCCAAGTAAGTTCAACCAAGGATTATATGGCCCTCTCTTTTAAAATGAATTCTCAATTTACTGTTACCACTCCTCTTGTTACTGATACTACGGCTCAACAACCTGTTGTTACTGTGGCTCAGTGATGACCTTATCTGCAGAAGAGGTTTAGGCTCTTGTCTACCATGAAGTTGAGTCTTTTATATGGCCTGAGAGTTCTCCCGAACCTTGACCAGCTTTTCCTATATTCCCAGAGGAGGCTGGTCAGGGTGATGAAGATTTTGACAGTATTTTCCTGCTTCTTTCCTTTGCATACAATTTTGATCTGTGCCTTTTAACATACCTTAGCCTTCATCTGCATTCCTGGACATCATGGCACTGGTTTGTTGCATTTTATCATTATCTTCTGTGTCTTATGACCCATCCTCTTCCCTTTCACATGATATCCTTTCCTCTGATTATTTAGTTCTCTCTCCTTCTCCCAATATTGGGGTCCATGCTACTCATTATGTGGATCAGTTTGCCTCATACTAATGATTCTCATGTTTTGGAATATATTTGTTCTGCAGCTCGATTCTCAACACTTGGAATCATTAATTCAGGTTTGGGGAGCAGACCTTGATACCTCCATTTGTTTTTTGAGAGTCCCAGTTTTCCCACTTATGTTTGACCCTCACCACCCTCCTCCATCATCTTACCTCCATGCACCTCCTTTCTGAGGCACTCAATGAGTTTTCAGTAAAACTCCTTCTGACTTTTTCTCCACACTTGTGTACTTTTCTTCCTCTGCCCTTTCCCTTCATACCTAGCTCCTTTGTTTTTGGGATCTTTTGGGTCTAGATGCACTTGTAACTCTTGTGCATCTACTCTTCAAATATTTATGTGACTTATGTATGGCTCCATTTCTATATCAGTCTGTTTTGGGGAATATACCAGATTCATTTGAGTCTCATGCAGGAGCTGCTTGACAGCATGCTTCCATTTCTTCCCTCATCACTTGTCTGTCTCAACCTTCTCCTGCTCCTGTCTCTCACCCTTCTCTTTCCTCTACCGTGCCTGTGCCTTCATAATGGGTTTTGGCAACAACTTGATGTATTGTGCACCACGACCCTTATGCAACCAGCAGTTCTGGTGACTATCGGGTGGGTACAGGTCCCATTGGGGCTAGATTGTCCAGGTTCACCTCTCTTTAGCATACCTTCACCTCCAAGTCTTGGGTGTTTCAGGTCTTGTCAGAAGGACTCTTGATTTGTTTTTTCACCAATCCTCCAATAGCCCATCTCCTTTCCATTTTCTCATCCTTGGGAATACCTTTCCAGCCAGCATCTTTCTGAGGTGGTTCAGGATTCTCTTTTCAAGAAGGCTATTGAACTTGTCAATCACCCTAATCTGGGGCTCTTTCCTGGTTGTTCATCATCCCCAAGAAGACCAGAGACTGGAATCCCGTCATAGTCTTTCCAGTATGAACCATTATGTAGACCTTTCTTGTTTCACCATGGAGCTTTTCCCATCTTTTTGATGGACTTTTACTCTAGGTCTGTATGTATGTCAGGAGTCCATGGATGGCTAATTCAGTTTGTGTACTAGGTCTGCACGCATGTGCTGGCCTGGAATGTCAGAACAGAAGTCCTGTTTCCTTTCTGATTCTTAGGCCTGAGGTGAAGATGGTTGGGACCTTCCTCCCGTCGTGGCCCAAATGCTCCATTCTTAGTGCCACCAGCTTTTAGACTGGAGTTGATTATCTCGTTATGGTCTAATGCACCTTGGCCACTCTATGCTATTTTCATGTCCACTTTCTTGGATGTGCTTCTTTCCGCCCTATTTTGTGACACTATTCTACACTTCAGGCAGGTGCAGGTGTGGTGCAGTCTCCCATAGGTGTGATCCCACCCAATGAAGTTTCACACTCCATAGGCTTGCATTGGATGCTTTCAGAATGGTACTCATCTAGATAACTTTGCACTGGTCACTCCATCTTTATATTAGCGGAGGTAAGGTATCATATTGGAAGCTAATATTTTCCTACACTGAAAACGTATTTCTGATACATACTTACCTCAACTCGCATTTACCATATGCCCTTCCCATTTCTGCTGTTTGCTTTTTAACTAATCTCAAAGTGATGATTGGGTTCTACAGTATAGAGGCAGTCAGCTGCTTTAGGAGGGTGTATCATACTCTTATTAGTAAGTTTGTTGCATACTAATTTGCATGCTACAGTGCAGCTGTGCCACGTGCAATCATGTGGAGGTAGGTGGGAGTGCAAGGTTAGTGGCATGCAAAATTTGTACATATAGAGGGCAGTAATCATCAAGAAATGTATCTATCACAAGTACCTTTTCAGTGTAGGAAAATGTTAATATTAACTCATCCCTTAAATTCACGTGACATTCTCCTTTTTCTGTGTCTCACTTTGTGGTCTTGTTTTAATTTTCTATACTTTCTTTCATTTTCTTTGTCTATTTGTATTTCTTCTTTTTTTTCTTCCCATTAATTTACCATGACTAGCAGGTTTCCTGTCTCATTCTGTGACTTTGTGATTATCTTGAATGAAAGTTGAAGTATAGTCAAAATTCTGTCTTATTTTAACCAAAATATCCTCATTTCTTACATCATCTTTTAACATTGTTCTTTTGGTGGTGCATTCATTTAAGTTATATGGGGAAAATAATTTGAAGTCCATTCTTCATAAATGGTAGTGTATTTTTGCTGTGAGCTACAAAAGGCCATGATGACCAAGCATCATCTTTGGCATTAGGTGAGAAACAGGGTACAAGTTTATAACATTCATTTCTTAGTCAGTTTCTTATACAGGATTGGCTCCATTAACTCTTTCAGCACAGGCTCAGTCCCTGGGAGTGACCTCATAACCATTTTGTGCTTGCTATAGTTTTCATGCTATAACTTTTAAATTAGTAAACAAATGTTAACAAAATTTGGCAGATTATCAATAAACATTACAATACTTTCATACACAAAATATTAAATATTTTTTATTAAATCTTAAAGTTTATAAAGCAATGTTTTTCTCATGTCTGTTTTTTTCTTTATTAAGTCTAAGGTTTATAAAGCAATGTTTATCTCATGCCTGTCTTTTCTTTTCGCATGTTGCCTATCTATCATGCAAAGTAATATTTTATTTTAAGATTAAAATACTTTTATGCATCAGAAAACTTTAAAATTTCATGTGCGAAATCTTTATAATGTCCAGATAGTTATCAAATGTTGTTTAAGAAAAAACTTTATATTTTATCTGTTATTTTCAGTAATTAATCTCTGTATGGGTTCAGTAGATTTGATCGATCTCGCAACCACCATAAAAATAGGGAATAAATACAAATTATGCCTCTTTTATTCTGGAATGAACACAAGTTATAACATGAAAACATAAATGTTTAGACTAAATAGCTTAAATCTCATAACATTATACATTTATATATATTTATAATTTTTATTATATTGACTTTTCAACCATGCCTGGTTAAACAATACAGAAGTTACAATGATGCGGCTCACTTGCATTCATGTTACAGTATCAAATAACATAAAGGTGACCTTTGGTCTGTGCAAAGTAACTTGTCTTGGCTGTGTTTTTGTAGACTAGCATTTTGTAAAATACAGTCACATTTCAATTATTATACATTTATATGTATATAGATTATTGCTATTTTGAAATAGTTCTTAAACATATTTTTCCAAAACGTAGAACAGTAAATAAAGAAGTAAAGCAAACAATGATCTCTTCTAGTTATGACCTT